AGCCATGTGCTTTGCAACCAGAGTACAAGGGTTATGACCACCAATGAACTGTTTACTTTCCAAATTCTTCCCTGAGGAAGAGCTTTCTGCGCAATGTCACTTGTCAGTAATGCCCATCCTGAGAATATACACTGGACCGTTCTCTCTACCCCTAGGTTATCTCCTTATTCCCTAACCTGTTCCCTACCTGTGCTACAACTCCACTCACAAACACCCCCAACACCAGCAAGGGAGCAACATAGAGTGAAGAGCTGCTGTCTCCAGGTGAAGACTGGACTCCAAACCCTCAAGCTGGAATACTAAACCCACTCCCTGAGTCCAACCAGTACCCTCAAGAACTACCCATCTGCCCTAAAGTCCGGATAAAAGAAGCCAAAAGATACTGTTCACTAGGGCCTGAGGTACTCAGAACCGGCTGCCACAGCCCTGTCAGCTTCGTGCTATGATTTTTTGAGTCCCCTTCTCCATCTCCCTACCCCTTTTTCCCAAACGAGGAAAGAATATCCAAGTCCGGGTTCCAAGTTCATGAACTCTGCCTCTGACTGTCCACAAAGTGCTCAGGGGTCAGTCTCTCACAGTCCACTCTGCCCACAACCTCCAGGGCTGATCCTATCACAGAGGCCACAGCGTCAACAAACCTATTTGCTTTCCCAGAACTATTCTGAAGTCACTGCAGAAGCATGGATTAGAGGTTGCCATACACCAACATTCTCCCCATGGGTGTCCCTGAACTGCTGGGCTGGAGATCAATAGAACCTTGGCGCCCAGCCTGTGTCTTGAGTCAGCAGAGGCCCGCAGTCTTTTCTATCTCTGTGGTTTGAGTGTGGTGCATCTCCACCAAAACTGCTGCTGAGACTCAAGGCGGTAATGAGCCAGGGTCAAGAACTGTGGTCAAGCAGAGAGGCTTGGGTCGTGGAGCCCCAGCTCTCATGAGAAGACAACTGCTGAAGCCAGGATTGGACTGATTGTTGCTACAAAAGCTGAGGTTGTCATGAAGCAGGGTTCCCCAACATGTATCCAACACATCTCTTTGTTCTTCAATTCCTGCTATCACTTGAGGCAACATGGCTCTCATCACATATAGATACCCAATTCTAAATAGACAGAACATGAACCAAAAAAAAATCTTTTGTTTTTTAATTTCCCAGTCTCTGGTATTCTGTTGCAGCAGGAGGAAATACTAAAATTACTTACAAATTATCACCTACTCTCCAAAGTTGGTGCTGGGCTCAACAGCACACATCTGTGATCCCAGTGTTTAGAAGGCTGAGGTTGGAGGATCATGAGTTTGAGGGCAATTTGGGCTACATAGTCTCAAAAAAAAAAAAAAGACTCATTATTCAGCAGGCTTGACAAATATTAAGCAGCTGTGGCAACACGGCTGGCCTCTATGAATGACAGCAAACTCCTTGGGCCCTGTAAGAGGGTGTCACTCAGGCACCCCAAGTCAACAATTACCAATGATGGTATCTAGCTGTAGCAAGGACAAGGAAAAGTACTGGTAAGTCTGAAAAGTGAGTATTTCAAACTTCATTTGTTTGCACTTGCTAATTTTCACTACTTTAAGAAACCAGCTAGGGAGATGCGAGATGGCTCTGTAACGTCCATTCTGTTGTGAAGCCTGGAACAAACAAAAAAATCTAAAATATTTTTAATGGTATAAACATTATTTACCTCACAGGGTAGCTGTGTTCATTACTAAGTGATGTGATCTACATGAAGCATTCATATACATGGAATATACTATAAATATTAACTCTTATAATTACTGCCACCAACAGGGCCTAAGAAAGGAGGGCCAGATGAAGTAGACAAGGGAGGAGTCATTTTATAAGACTGAGAAAATGTTGGCCAGGAATGGTAGCACCAACCTATAATAGGAGCAATCAGGAGCCTGAGGCAGAGGGATCTTGAGATCAAGGCTAGACTTGGCTACACATGGAGACCTTGTGTGAGAACGACAAGGAAAAAGTAGTACCCGTGAGGTGATTTTGTCACTGGAAAAGACTGAACAGCAAAGAAAGAAAATTGGAGTCTTGGATTCATTTCCTGAAAGAACTTGAGCTAAAAATCTTCAGACAAGCTGGCTATCAAAGTTCTCCTATTGCCCATCACAGCCACAATGACACTGAGTCCCCAACGAGGCGACCCTGCCTCAGCCCACCTTTTTGCAAAGCCACCATCTGATATAGAAATAAATAATTTGCATTGGTATGGATTTTGCTTTATTGATATAACTTTAAGGTCAATATTTCTGCTCTTGATTAAGGTATTGTGATTGTGTAGTTCATTTAAAAATGTAATGTATAATTAAGAAATATAGGTTAATAGATAATCTTTATAATAGTCAAGTTTGTAGTCATGTTAGTTAGATTTTCTAGATGTGCATTTCAGATGGATAGGCATTCTTCATATCCTTCAAAGACTACAGAATATGACATTTAATGTTTTAATAACTTAGGGCTTTTCATGACAATGAGACACATCTGCTCCTGGTAGTACCAATCTACTTCAAGGGGAAGATGGGCATCAAAGAGGCTCCTTATGGAGTTGGTTAGTCATTTGGGTAAGAAACTGCTCTTGCCTGGACTGATTCATAAACTGGACATGAAGAACCCACAGAGAGATGACTGCTTAACTTGCCTAGAGATGAGATGGTCCTTTGGGGTTCCTGTTTCATGAAAGAAAAATGTCCTGCAAGACATTCTGCAGGACACAGAAGAAAGTGACTAAACTGTCTTTAAAATTTCGAGCTTCATGGAAATGTCTGCTGGAAACTATGGGCCTGTAGGCTGAAGATGGATGCCCCAACCATACAGAAGAACTTTGGGTGACTGTACAGGCAGCGAGATGTCTCTGTCATTTCTAGAGTTTTGGAAGTTGCTTATTTCTTGTTTACTTAGGTAATATATCCTTCTGGAGTCTTTGATGGAGTTGAAGAATAGATAGATAGTTATAGTTTTCCGGAGACACCAGGTCAGACATGCTGAATCTTTCCCAGGCTGGGCATGATCTCGTGGTGATACATAGATTAAGAGAAATAGGCTAAATTAAGATGTAAGAATTGGCCAATAATAGGTTAGAACTAATGGGCCAGGCAGTGTTTAAATGAATACAGTTTCTGTGTGATTATTTCGGGTGTAAGCTAGCAGAGCGGCCAGCACAAACCAAGGGTCACCTCTCTCAACACCATCAGCCCCACTCTTCACGTGTATTGGTCAGGTCTGGCTAAGAGCCATCTATCTTGGGTCCCCCCCTTAACCATGTGACAGAACAGTCTCATAAATGCCAGGTGTGGTAAAAGTTCACTTCTCAATTTTACTGCCTTTCATTTCAGTAAAAACCTGTATCATCCAAACATCTGGACAACACAGGAATGCCACATGTCCTCCAATGAGCATGTAACAACAGCCTAAGTACAACCATTGCCCAGCACAAGGTTTCAAGAGAAAACCCACCACCTCTCCAAGAGACTGAGCTTTTGATAAAAAGACACCTTAGCGAGTCACATCATATGACACACGTGACACAGAGAGGACACTACGACATTCACACAACAGAACAAGAATGAGACCTGAATCTTCAAAGAGCAGACAACTGGGAAGCTGAGGTGAATGATTACTCTTGACATGTCACTAAGTCTCATGAGTACCATTAATCAGAGGCCCAGTCAGCTTCTATGAAATGTCAGGCATTAACTATTTTAGGTTCTACAGGATACACAAGTCTTGTCTAGGTATAGTGTGAAGTCAGCCACCATGACAGTGTTCTAATAAAGTTTTATTTACAACTACATTGGTTTCAAATACTTTTATATTATGAAATTTTTTTCTTTGCTTTTTATCTCAATTACTTAAAAACATAGAAGCTATTCTTACTTAGCTCATGGGTCATGCAAAAACAAGCAGTGGCTACAATGGCTACTGCCCTAAATTCCATGTTCGCTCTGGACAGAACCACAAGAACAGTCTTGTGACAGTGCAGAGTATGGGCCTGTGGCCAGGTTCGAGCTCCACATCCTGGTTCTGACAATTACTACCTACACTGAGCTCAACCTTCTCTGCTCCTCAAACACTTGAAAGAGTTCCATGAGATGCCATTGGGGCACAAGGCACGGTCAAGAAAGAATGAATGCTATTATCATTGTCACTGTCCCTTTACTCTGGGCTAGATTTCAATCAGTTCAGTTTTTAAAAAGCACTCGGGATCTCTCAAGACTGGTCTAGGTTCCAAGTGTCTGATGAGATATAGGAACCAACGTCTTTCTTAATGAATACAGGGCATTTAGAAGATAAAATAACTGGAAATGAGTCTCTAGTGTCAGTAGAGATCAATGCTGATAATCAAGGGGGTGGGGCTGCCAGCTCACAACGTCCCACAGCATCCTGAACAACACACTTCTGGTTCTAGAACAAACCCCCAGCGCCTCATTCACTGTCTCTCCTGAGACATATTCATCCTGTTTTGACTCTCCAGGCCCTGGGACAAAGATGGTCTGGCCTTCTGTGATGTAAAGCTGAACTAGGCGTGTGTAAACTTCAGGGCCTTAAAGGCCACCTTAGTGATGAATGTGGTCAGCCATACTGAAGAATCACGCCTAGCCCAGCCTGCCTGTGTTTATAGGTTGAGGAAACAGAGGCCCAGGCAGGTCTAACACCTGAGTCTAAAACGTATTTGCTCATCACATGCAAGGCCCTTGACATAAAGGACACAGTAAATGTTTCCTAGTCCCAAACTGCTTAAAGACTGGTGAAAGCAACAGAGAAATGCATGCTCACTTCGGTATCTCTTTCCTTGCCCCGGGTGGAATCCAGTGTGTTACAATCTTCCACTGTCTCTACTTCGCCCTCTGACCCTTTCAGCACCAACAGATGGAATCAGTGTCTCTTTAAAGGAAAGTGAGTCATGAAATGAGGAGCTCACACATCACATGCCCCCTTCCACTATGCACGTTCCTCAAATTCCTCAGTAATCCAGAAGTCAGGCCCAACTCGCTCCAACTAGCCCTGCTGCCTAAAGAGTGGGAGCTGCTGCTCTCTTCTTTCCTCAAGCCTGGCTCACTGTTCCATACAAGAGAACCTTTCCCCGAGAGAAACTAGGGCTTCTATCCTGCCCTAAGTGCCAGCCCCTGGCACTTAGCCCTCACCACCAGGTACCGTCACTGGCCATCTGGTTGGAATCTTCTTGGTGGAGATGCATCGATTCACATCTAGCACAGAACCTGCACTGGCTGGCTGAGTGGTGAATGGACAGTAAGGAGGAAGGTGGGGTAAAAAGATAAAGTGGGAAAGGGTCCTGGCACCAGAATTGGAGGGGATCTTGGCATCAGGAAAGAAGAGAGCAATTAAGCCAAGAAAAATTATATTGGGGGGGGGCACAAAAAAGTGCAGAAAGTGGGAGGTGTGTGCTTGGGAGAGAGTGAGGCAGAGGGGGAGGGAGGGAGGGAAGAGGGGAGGGAGGGAGGGTCAAGGAAGTACAGGAAGTGGGGGGGGGACTTGGGAGAGGGTGAGGCTACAAGTGCTTGCCATTGTGTGAAATGTTTATTTTCTCCTTCCTATCAAAGGCAGCTGGCCTGCCAAGGGCAATATTCTATAAATCTCTCCCAACCTTGTAAAACTTTTATGTAAATCTTTTAATCTATCCTACCTGGTAATAAAACTTTTGCTTACACAAAGTATCCCCTCCAGCTTCTCTCTCTCTCTCTCTCTCTCTCTCCTGTAATCCTGATAGCCTAAAGCAGCCAACCACCCTTTCCTTCATTTCCTTTGCAGGATTCCTTTAAAACTAGCCAGTCAAAAAAGACTGTGAGGTTAGACCCCAGTCAATGAGGAAAAGACAGAGACACCACCTGTGTTAGAATAAAAACCAACTGCATTTCCGTCCCAACGGGCTCCTTAAGTTTGGGTTGTAGTGCAGTGCCAGGATATTTTTTTTCTTTGCTCATGTAATCCTTTGTGTGACACTGAAGTTGTTTTCTTTGTTTGTTTTATGTTTCTCTTTTTCCAAACAGGGTTTCTCTGTAGCTTTGGAGCCTGTCCTGGAACTGGCTCTGTAGACGAGGATGGCCTAAACTCAGAGACCCACCTGCCTCTGCCTCCCAAGTGTTTGGATTAAAGGCGTGTGCCACCACCACCAGGCTGTTTGTTTCTAACACTATGAAAGTATGAGAGGACCTGAGTTGAGATCCTCAGAACCCATGTAAAACTGTTCACTGCAGCATCATGGGCAATCTCAGCCGCTCTAGTGCTGAGGAGGTCTCACTGGCCAGTCAGTCTAGCCCACTCAGTGAGACTCCGACTGTGGTAAGTAACAAAACCATCTGTGGCAAACTGAGAGGGCCAGACCTATCCTGCACATGCAGCCTGAGAAAGGGTGATGCGCTGGGGAAAGCCCCTGGGACCTGAAACAGTTACAACCCAGACCCCCCCAAGATGATCTGACCAACCCAAAAGGCTGAGCTAGAACTTGCTATGACTTGAGGATAACTCAAATAGAATAAACTGAAAAAAAAACTTTTTAATGGTTTTAAAACATCTTTAGAACCTAGTTCTCTGGAATGCAGGCTAAGTTTGCCCAATGGGCTCCCAAAGACCTTCATTCAGGCTAGTCTTGTTTTTGGTTTTAAGATTTATCATTTATTTTTGTCTTATGTGTGTGAGTGTTTGCCTATGTGTATGTAAATGTGCCATGCAAATGACTAGTGCCAAAAGAAGGCATCAGATCCCGAGAACTGGAGTTACAGACAGACAGTTGTGAGCCACCTTGTGGATTCTGGGGATTGAATCCAAGTTCTCTTCAAGAGTGGCAAGTGCTCTTAACTTCAGGGCCATCTCCCCAGTCCCAACCAGGCCAGTCATGACGGAGAAAGGCCAAGGGTGTGCTCCATCAGTTATCCAGTATATTCCTGAGCACCTCCCCCAGATCCCCTTCAACAAACCCAGTAAGCCAACACAGTTTAAGATATAATCCCATAGACCTGCATGGGAATTGGGACCACGAGTGTTATTTCTTCCCTGACTAAGAACTTGAAACATTACCATATCAAGGTAAAAAAGACCAGTTCTCTACCACTCAGCATGCAGTAAATCCTCTTCCTGTCTGTGACTGTGACTGTGGACCATCTGTCCACACAGCACATTACTGGTCACATTCATGGATCTCCTGGTTTGCTTTGTGTGCTTTCAGGAAACAAAATCAACACTTAATAAGGCATAATGGATGTATACCTACCTATTTTATAAACTTCAATGAATTGTGCCAAATTGAAAGAGTCGGGATTTTACAGGAAAAAGGAACAGTCATGGAAGTCACTGTTGGGTATCTTTGCCCTGACTCTCATGTGCTACATAACACCAGGTGAGTCCCCAGTGCTCCTGAAGCTTCTGTCTGTGCATATTCAGAGGAACGCTCTGGCCTGAATGCCCACATCCATGTCAAGCTAGAACCTAAGCAGACTCTTCATACATGTTAGCAGGCTCCAGGTATAAGGCTTACCCTTTCTTCAGAAGCAGCAATATTTAGCCTTGAACAAAAGGCAGCCCAGCAAAAGCTCACAATCATTTGTATGTGTATTCTCTCTCACGCATACGCATGTGCACATTTTACCTAACCAAAGATAATTATTAACTATTAGCAATAATTACCACATTGTACAAATAAATTGTATTACAGAAAGAGTCCCTCTGTTCCAAAATTTGTATTAACAAAGAAAAAAGCTAAAATTCCCAAAGTCTCCTAAGTCCAGTCCATCTTTCTTCGCTATCTAATAAAACACTTTTTATTTCCTTTCATGGGTTTAAACTTCACTAAAAGGCAGATTGTCTGGGAGCATGCTGCTGAGACAACAGGACTCTGTGTGTGCTCAAATAATCCCCTGTCCCAGTTGACTGTTTTCTATTTTTTCTGAATAGACACTGCACAGAATCAGGAATCAGAAACAGTCCTGTGATCTCGCTAATTGCATCCTCAGACAAGTCCAAAATGGGTAAAATTTTTTAAAGGCACAACTGATTCCAGTCCTAAATGCTCCTCCAGGAGCTCCCAGCCTTCTCTCCCACAATGGCTTGCCCACCCCTCCCTGCCAACCCTCACACTCCAGGGCTGGGCAAGGATTCAAATGGCAGACAGGGTTGCCCTCCAGACAAGACCGGTCTCTGCCCATTAAAGGCCAGAACTTGGAAGAGGAAGGCCAGGAAGTTGAAGACAACATGTCCCTGGGTATCCATCCTCTCACTACCCTAAAGTTGACCCTAAGTCTAATCCAAAATCTAGCATTTGGGAGCAGTTGAATGACAAAGAACTTCCACAGGGGGGAAAAAGTCTCCTTACTGGCCACATGCAGCTTCCCAACACACACATGCACTGCAGCAAATGCAGGGAGGGAAACACCTACCCTGTCCCAGATTTCACAGATCTCAAGACAGCCAGGGTCTAAACCTTCCTGAATTTATAACAAAATTCCACAAAAAATTTTATATTAAATCTACAAAGAAATAGCCAGGTCCCATGAATAAAAAGATTGAGCTAGTGCTGCTGAGCCCAGTTATTTCCCCTCAGGAAGCCACAGATGCCACAGATATCGCACTATGACTAAGCTTGCTATTGATTGTTGATGTTTGCCCGAAACAGTAAGAAACCCCAGCAAGAATAGTTACACTCAGAAATCTGGAGAAATTTCCTACTCTTACATGTTTTAACAAACTAAATATTAGAGGTTTTTTGTTTTTTGTTTTTTAACTCGGTTCCTGCTGTTCAAAGAAAAATTTCCCTGCTCACAGGTTGGCTTCCGACATCCTGCAGACCTGCAGACTCTGAAATGGGATTCAAAGGATTAAGTGGGAGAGTGCTATTAACAGCTCTTCAACAGCAGGCATCAATCTGAGGCAGGAGCCCATGGCCCACCAGGGAGAAGGAAGGGCTGAGCGGGAGCTGAGTCCAGGCCACACCTGCTCACTGGGAAAGGATGCTGGGCTTTCTCCAACCTCAGTCCTGCATCTGTCTAAGGCCTGCACCACTCACCAGAGACAGCCAGGGCCACCAGTGGCTTCCCGTGTCCACTTCAGAATGGCAAAATCCTCTTGAGAAAATGCATACTAAAACCCAAAGGAGATTAGAGGAACGGGGTAACAAAATTAGTAAATCTTAATTTGAGAACTCCTTGTTTATTTTGTAACAGGTGGTATTCCTAGGGCAACATCCACCTTGGAATTGTTTGTTTTTCTCTTGGTTTTGTTTTGAGACAGCATCTCACTGTGTAGTCCTGGTTGGTCTGGAAATTGCTACAGTGATCAGGCTGGCCTCAAACCCACAGAGCTCCATCTGCTTCTGCCTCCCAAGAGCTGTCTCCCACACTCAGCACATCTTGTTTTCTAAAACTGGGTCTCTCTCCAGGTAGGCTAAACTAACTACAGATGGAACCCCAGGCTCTGCCTCCCCAGTGATGGGATGCCACCATACCTGGATTTTTAACTGGGTGTCAAAGACTTAGCAAACACTTTTCCAACAGAACAACCAACCTAGCCCCTAAAATTACAAATCTGTGGTATTCTGTTTCAGAGCATCCTCAGCAGAAAACACTGAATATGAAACAACAATACATTCCACCTGTTTCTGTATCTCATTTGGTTCTCCTTCACATAAACGTGCAACTGTAAACAATGAAAACTTAACAATACAGCTCTATTGGCCAGTAGAGGTTCTACTCCTGAAGAGGGCAGAATGAGAAGTGAAGGTGGCTGGGAAAAGGAACACATGGAAGGTTGCCAACATTAAAAGTTTTACATAATAAAAATATATAAAGAAACGAATCAAAGATTTAATAGAGTTCCTGAAACAATCACAAAGTATTTCCTTGAAAAAATTCTCTCTTCATGCATACTCTAATCTACAACACACTCTGCTTGCAGATTTTAGGTATGAATTTTCCCCATTCTTTGGAATATATATATATTATAACCTCCATACCAAAGGAAGTACAAGAGATTAAAGGAAAGTTATGGTTCCATCATTTTCATTATCACAGATGTGAAACTTTCAGAATTACAGTAATAAAGAGAAATCTAGCAATGTTCAAGGGCAACAAACTCACGGAACCTCAGGAATACATTGGTTTAAAAACAAAATATATACTACTAATCACAGCATTGGGGAAAAAAGAAAAACCTGTAAGATTATCTGGAAGGTAGAGAAAAGGTATACAGTCCTACTCAGCGCATTCATGTGATAAGACTCTTGAACTCAGACAATAATGTAACCTCCTTATTCAGTAATGGCAAAACTTATACTGCAGCACTGTTCACAACAGCCAAGGTACAGGAAATAATCCAAGCGCTGGTCAGTGGATAAATGAATAAAGAAACAGAGAATGAATGGCAAGAAAGAGAGATTAAGATTAGTGAGCCTTCAAGAAGGAGAGCCTGTTACTTGTAACATCACAGATGGAACTTGAAGGCAGTATGTCAAATGAAACAAGTCTGGCAGAAAAACAAATATTAATCCCACTTTGGGTCATTTGATACTTAAAGATGAGGATACATCCTGAGGACAATGCTGTTATGCAATTTCACTGTTGTACAAACACCAGAAAGTCTTACACAAATGTAGATGGACTAGGTCACACTTAATGTGGCCTCTCAATACAAGGAACACAGTAAACACAAGATTCACAGAAGGTCACTTAGCCAATGTAAGACTACCTGTACTGTGTGCCAGGACCACAGCTATCACTGTGCAGTGAATGTTTGGCTGCATATGGAATCTAAAAACAAGCCCAAAGGTGAGGAGATGTTTCAGGGGCATCTTTTGGGTCAGGTGAAAAGTCCTGCCTCACTACCAGAAGGAGATCAAGGAAGGAAGAAACTCAAAGTCAAGTTCGGGTCTCCATCCACGTATGTGCCCACACACATGCACATCACACACAAAATGTAATAAAAACAAGTAAAATTCACAGAGTGGAACGGCAGTTTCTAGAGGAGGTAGTGTGAGGCATGGAGACATGTGGACCAACGCATCCAAGCTTGCAGGTAAGCAGAATGAGCACATTTACCGTGCTAAGTATAGCACGGGATTTACAGTTAGAATACGCACACACTGAAGTTATTGAGATTTTAGATGCTCCACACCCCACACACATACACACAATGGAATCTGTGTGTAAAGAGACCTGTAGAGTAATATACATCTCTATCTTATCCAACAGGTAAAAAAAAATGAGAAAAATCACATATTACTCAGAAAATTTGCTAAAGTGCAAGAATTCTCATACCCATTGATGGTTTATACCAATGGAGATGAATGCACTGCTACTACACAAACTGGATATCAGAAAACTGATGCTGGGTGCTGAAAGCACACCACAGAAAACTATGTGAAATTCTGCTTTAATAAGCAAAGGTAATTAACATGCTGCCTAGAAATATGTACAGACAAGCTAAAAACAACTTAATGTGCAGACATAACCCCAGCACAGTGGTGATCTGAAATCACTGGGGCATCTACTTACTTTTTTACTGCATTGTTAACACTTTCTCTAATTATCAAATATTACACAACATAAATTTGTGAACCATGAACACAATCCACTCTTGTCATCACCACGGAGCTGACACTGGACAGGATGAAAAGCAGAGGCCAAGTACCGCTCTGCTTCCATGGAGGAGCAGCCAGGGGAGTCAGGTGTCTTGCCCAGAGCAGCCCTGCCAGAAGGAAGACAAAGGGCAAAACCTAAACCTCCTCCCTCTTGATTAGTGCTCTCTCTGTCTACCTATAGATATCTGTTTAGTGTTGACCTTGTTTCCCCAGGTATACAGTAAGGTAGGGATACATCTTATTGAAGCCTCTGGGCATGTCTGTGAGTGCCTTTCTAGGTTGGCTTGTTACCTGAGACCTACTCTGAATGTGGGCTTGGGTCCCAGGATGGATAAGAAGGAGATAGCAAGCTGAGTAGCATCTTCCATCACTCTTCTTCCTGAAGCTGCAATGTACTCAGCTGTTCTGCCGCCATGCTTGTGAGGAACTGTAAACCCTACACTCTGAGACCACACAGACCCTTCCTCCCTTACACTGCTTTTGACAGGCATTGTCACATAAGAAAGCAAATACAGTGCCAAATAAATACCTGTGGGCTAGGGCCTGGACGCCTATGTTCATGGTAACAGGTTCTGTCATTTAACACAGATCCTTATCAATTGGCCCAGGGGCATCCACAAACAGCCTAAACCCAGTTGCTCTCTCCAAACAGGAACTAGTCTCAGTTTCTAGAAAATCAGTTTCCAGCCTGCAAGGTAGCAACAGAAAAGTAAGTTGTCATTAGTCATTAGAGATACCTTCCATCATTTGCTACTAACAAGCTTGTCAAAGCTAAGCAAATCTAAGACACTCTTCAAATGGTCAGCACTTGAATTATTCAAGACCCTCTTAACTAGGAGGGTAAAGGGTAAATTTATAAAAGCTTATGTGTGGAATGGAAGCTGGAAAGTGCCCAGAACCTAGACACTAGAGGACTGTGAGGAGACAGAGAGATGGAAAGAGGCAAAGAGAATCAGAGACATCGGGGAGAGGTGGCTGGTTGGCTGGTGGCTAGGCTAGGTCATAAAGTGACATGGGTGCATCAGGTGGCTGGGATGAGAGGCCACCACCGCACTTCCACAGCAGATCTAAAGGCCTTTGGAGGAAGAATGTTCCTATTTGCTTGCAAACCTACATTCTAGTCCAGGACCCGTGCTACCTTGTTTGGACCATTGTTGTTTTCTCATTCCTGTTTCTGACTTTCTCAGAACTGTTTACACACCCTAACAGATGTTATATGCTGCTCTGCACACTTCACACAATCTTCAAATATGACAATGTACTCTGCAGAAGTCCACATAGAGACAGCAGAATGGAACTGCCTTCATCAGTTCGACAAATAACAAGCTCGCTTCAATCCATTGCCGGTGGGAATGCAAACTTGTGCAACCACTTTGGAAAGCAGTGTGGCGGTTTCTCAGGAAATTCAGGATCAACCTAGCCCTGGACCCAGCAATACCACTCTTGGGAATATACCCAAGAGATGCCCTATCATATTACAAAAGTATTTGTTCTACTATGTTTATAGCAGTATTTTTTGTAATAGCCAGAACCTGGAAACAACCTAGATGCCCTTCAATGGAAGAATGGATGAAGAAAGTGTGGAATATATACACATTAGAGTACTACTCAGCAGTAAAAAACAAGGACTTCTTGAACTTTGCATGCAAATAGACAGAAATAGAAAACACTATCCTGAGTGAGGTAAGCCAGACCCAAAAAGAGGAACATGGGATGTACTCACTCATAATTGGTTTCTAGCCATAAATAAAGGACATTGAGCCTATAATTCGTGATCCTAGAGAAGCTAAATAAGAAGGTAAACCCAAAGAAAAACATAGTCATCCCCTGGATATTAACCTTCATCAGGCGATGAAAGGAGACAGAGACCCACATTGGAGCACCGGACAGAAACCCCAAGGTCCAAATCGGGAGCAGAAGGAGAGAGAGCACAAGCAAGGAACTCAGGACCGCAAGAGGTGCACCCACACACTGAGACAAAGGGGATGTTCTATCGGGAACTCACCAAGGCCAGCTGGCCTGGATCTGAAAAAGCCTGGGATAAAACCGGTCTTGCTGAACATAGCGGACAATGAGGACTACTGAGAACTCAAGAACAATGGCAATGGGGTTTTGATCCTACTGGACGTATTGGTTTCGTGGGAGCCTAGGCAGTTTTGTGGATGCTCACCTAACTAGACCTGGAAGGAGGTGGGTGGTCCTTGGACTTCCCACAGGGCAGGGAACCCTGATTGCTCTTCGGGCTGATGAGGGAGGGGGACTTGATTAGGGGAGGGGGAGGGAAATGGGAGGTGGTGGCAGGGAGGAGGCAGAAATCTTTAATAAATAAATAAAAAAAAAAAACAAGCTCGTTTCAGAGGCACATACACTGAAGTTTGACAACCAACTCGCCGACCCACAATAGGAGCAAGAAGCACCTGATTTCTGAACAGGATCCACCCAGAAATATCAACGTGCCTACTCAGAAACTACAACCTACAGGCTGACTGGAAGGCTTAATGCTGCCCGCAGAACAATGCTCCAGGCTGCAGTCCAGTGCTCAGCAAAGCAGACCGTGCTGGAACCCAGAAAACAAGTTTTGGGCTGCCTGTTCTCTGGCTGAAGAAAAGGATCTAACTGCTGAGAATTCAGATCAGAAGACCCTGGTTCACTCAGCCCTGTCTGACACAAATCGCAAGAAAGCAAATGACCTTGAGGAATTTTTCAATTACCTGAAGGCACAAAAAGATCACAGATGGAGCCCAAAGGGGAGTTGTGACACAAACAACTCTGTTTTCCCTTCAAGGGGACCGGTCCAGACTAGTCTTTATGAAGCTGGTTACATGAGAGCAAATGGGTGTGTGGCTCTTCCCAACACCACTGCTCCCCACAGGACTGCCCTGCCCTCAGGTGTGTAAAGAGTTTTACTGTACGAGAACATTTGCACAGTTAGCTCCTCACTAGGATGACCAAAACATGCAAACTTACACCTTAATGACAGCGACATCGCTAAGAGAACGGCAATCGGAAAGCTCTTTTGTATATCAGGAGCCTCGTGTCAACCTCAGAAGAAATCACAGTAGCCTTTCTAGGAAATAGGGGATGCTTCTGGCTCCATTTTACAAATGGGGAGTATGAGGTACAAGCACAAAAAGAGAACAGACCAAGATCATGACC